AACTCTTTCATCTACACTTTAATTCAGAGTGCTACTTTCTTTACAGAAGAAAAAAGTCAAATTATACTTGCTGTGTAGTGCTTACTATCTAGTATTTTAAAAGGTGGGTTTTTTTCACCAGTCAAAATAGAGACATGCTAGAACACTTGCAGTTTACATGACATCAACATCAGGTTTACACACAGCAGTCATGGAATAAAAAAGTCATAGTGCATAAATGCTTTCTCACTTCTGTAGAATCACAGAATCATCAGAGTTGGAAGACACCTTTGAAATCATCAAGTCCAACCGTTAACCTGTCACTTCTCTGTAACACTAAACCCTAACCATATCTTCCAGCACAGTACTGCAGGCAAATATGAAATTGCAAAAATCAGGCAAAATATCTCTGATTAATAGAAAACATCCTGTCTTGAATTCTGCCTTACTGCAATGTCAAAGGACAGAACTGTTGAACAAAAATAAGCAAATATTAAAATAATCATGCATGACTTAAGACACACAGTTCAGTGTGACTGTCCTTCTCCAGATGTAAGAGCGGTCTTAACTTGCTATAGGTATCCCCAGTATCTAAACTACTACTGAACCACAACATTTTCCTCAAGGTTACACAGGCTTTAATTTACCTGTCGTGAAATTCACATTAGCTAGTTTCTATTAACTTGCCTAAGTATCCTCCATATTAATTTAAATAATTTAATAAATCAAGGTACATACTATTTGCACGAATAAAAATGTTGTATCTTGGTATATGAAGGTCTAGCCCAATGTTGCCATGGTGGTGCTATGTATCCTATGCTCTGTATATGTACAGATCTGGCACAATACTGGACTGTTTAAACAAATAAAATCCAAAGCTGACAGAAAGTGAAATTAATTTGCTCCAGTTCCTCAGAGATACTAAAATTTCAAAGGTGGAAAAACATTACATGCTTAGACAAGGAAAGTGGGACTTAGCACTCCACAGAAAGTGAAATTTAGTGCTGGGAAAAATCTGCAAATGTCTTCAAGGACAAATGCTATCCTGTTCAGAGAAAGGACAAAGCAACTGACACCTACAGGATCAGATCTGGTTCTGCTCTATTTGGCTTGACATTACCCAGCCAGAAGATATAGCCACACAGCCAGTGCATGTACAGCCAATAAAACAGCCACAGTACATGCTGCCTTTACTCTGTGCAGTAGTTAAGGGGTGCAGGAGGGAAATGTTGTTGCAGAAAGGAAACTGAGGGGAAAAGAGCTGAGAAAGCACAGGCAGAATGACTCAACCAAAAAAAAAATTTTTACGTGAACAAATGTCAAAGACATATTACGTGGAGGACAAACAGAAGCTCTGGGAATCTTGTGCAGGGAAGATTTCAGTCTGCAGGGTTAAGTTTTAAATGCCAGCAGACATGGCTGCAGCATATCTAAACAGCTTATTTGATAAAGAGGTGGCTTAGCTGAAGCATTGTTTCCCAGAACTTATCTCATAAACAGCAGGAACTCAGAAACAGAGAAAAACAGGTCAAAATAGTCAAGCCAACCAGTACATATTTTACCCAAAGCAACAGCTTTCAAAATTTACTGAGATCTCTCTGTCATTACTTCTGCTCCTGAAGTCCATGTTTCTATTTGCATGTCCAAAGACACTAGTTTGCCCAGCATCTGCATCTAGACTGCTTTGACTTGCACTCCCTGTTTGACAGCATCTTTTCTTCCCACTCCTCAACTCAACAAGTACAATTAGCTCTGATAGCAGCACCAGTTTTCAAATGCATTGCCAGGTCTCAATTCTTTCACCTCCTTTCCCTTCTGTGATTACCCCAAGAATGTCCCTATTGATCTTTTCATCAAGGATGTATGTCAGCAAATTCCTTCTAAAGTTTCACTCTCTAAAACACAGATTCTTTTAGATGGCTAAAACTGTCATCCAGGTTCATTTCACTGTGCATCTCAATTACTGCAATGTTCTGCCTCAGCCTGGACAAATGTAATCTGTCATTGTTGGTATCTGTTCAAGATGTTGCTGTGCAATTCATTTTCTGAGCCCATCGTCTGTCTGTGTCATTCTTACCTGTTCATCCATCCATTCGATAACCTTT